AGGACTGAACTCAGGACCTTGCACTTGCCAGGCAGGCACAGTGATGCTTAACTACATCCCTGGCCCCATTTACAGTATTTCTGATCACCCTACATTGATCAAACATTTACAGCAGGGCTGGGGATTTAGCTCAGTGGTTCTACCGCGTGCCTTGTAAGCGCAAGGACCTGAGTTCGATCCTCAGTACCAAAAAAAAAAAAAAAATTTACAGCAATTTGTATCAAATAAAACATTACACGGTGTCCTCATCTGCTTTATTCATCAGATCTCACACCATGAGACTTCTCTCCCTCTTCCCTAAAGTGAAAGTGAAAATAACTAGAAAAGGTAAGGCAGTCTCAATAGAACAACTAAAGACAAAAAGCAGACTTCCAGAAATGCTTCAAAAAATGGCAAGAAGAATATAATAAGCATGTTCAAAGTAAGGAGTATTCTGAGGGGGATTAATAGCAATGTGTCTTTTACTGTAATAATTCTAGAAAATTTTGAACATTCACTGTATTTTTATCACACCTCATGATTGTCATCAGATGCTAGTTTTAACATACTGCTTGCTAAGAAAGCTGTTTCTTTCAAGCAAAGGAGAGCAAAGAATTTGCCAATCATTGCTCAATCACTGCCACTGTGCAGTTGAAAATTTATTTTAATCATATTAAAATTCATTGCCTCCAGTGAGAGTTCAGGTATCTTTAAACCTTGTATTATTCTATACTAAACATAAATTATGAAAAGAATTTGTTCTTCAGCTTATGTGTAATGAGAAATTTACAGTTTGGAACCAGGACTAGAGGAGGTATAATATTATCCTGTTAAACAATTATTTAGTAAATGCTTCGTATATACCAGGTAATGTGCTTACAAAGGGACAACAAAGTTAATAAGTAGTTGCTGAGCTTAAGGATCTCACAGGCTGGCTGTTTCACAGACAGACACAATATCACGTTATGATTATATTTATCATGGTTAGTAGGTAAAGATGAATATAATCTATTTAAGAAGCACCAAGAAAGAACTTCCCACCCTAATGAAGGAACTCAAGTCAGGGGAGCCACAATGAAGACTTTTGAGCTGGAATCCATGCAAATACCTGACCATCCTTTACCACTTGGGAAAAAGGCTAGAAGACTGTAGAGGTATGCAGAGGAGAAGAGCGTAGAGTATATGGAATGTTATGCTGCAACTAGGATGGAACACAGGAAAGAGCCTTTTGAAGTGGTGATGTGGAAAAACATTTTATTTCCTCTCCTGGACAGTGGATGTAAATCATTAAGCTATACTTTATTTTCTGTACAGCAAGTGCTTTTCTAATATGATGTAATTGTATCAGTCTAGTTTATCATAAGGGTAATATTGTACAATTACTTTCTTCTTTCTCAGTGGCACAAAAAAATAACGATAATCATATAATAGTATTTTAGGATTAAAAGTAGTAACTGCAATATGAAAATCAGAAGGAAGCAGGAGCACAGTTTTAGGATTCATCAGTGTGGTCAAATTTGTGTAAATCAGACCTGGATGACACCAAGCAGTATTACGCCACAAGCTAATGAAGAGGCAGGATGAAATCACCAATTTGGAACTTTTAATAGTAGCAAATTCAATTTCAGTATAGAAAAATAAATAAGATCCAAGACCAAAGGACTAATTCTTGGGAAGTATCTACATTAAGGGTTGAGAATGGAAAAGAAAAGCCAACAATGAATAATAAAGCAAATCTGTTCAAGAGAAAAAATAATAACTACCATAAAATATACCTACTTACCAAAACAGAACTCAGCTTTTGGCCTTAGCTTAGTTGCATCGCTAACCTACCAAGAAAAAGAAATGAATTACTCAATTCTTCATATGCTACTATGACCAAACTTAAATACTGTATAAATGTCCACATGCATAATTTCTCAATGATCATACACATGATCACTGGGAAATTAAACTTTAAAATGTTCCTGCTGGCTTGAACCACTGATGGTAAATGCATGATTCCCACTGGGTGGCTTGTACCACTGCTGATACAAACGGATCTAATCACTTGTATCAGTCTTTTTACTACTAAAATTAATAAAAAGTCTGTATCGTAAATGGATCAAATCTAGTTAGTTGATTTGAATAATTACTGCTTAAATATAAATACTAATTAATATTATTCATATGAACTTAAAATTACATTAACAAATTTATTTCATTAAAAGAAATGTATTTATATTTATGAATTTCTTTAGAACACCTACATAAAAGCAGCTGATTTGTGCAGAGTGCACAAAATATCATAACATGTTTGGCTTTTTTTCCAAGCCACAGCAGCACCCATTTTTTCAAATAGTCACATATGCCTTGCAAGTGCAAGGTCCTGAGTTTTATTCCCAGTACAAAAAACACACACAAAAAAACAAATAGTCATGCATGTACTGCCAGTGGATCAAGCCAGCAGGAGGATCAAATTGAAATCAGAGCCACCTAGTACTAAGACATGGATTATGAAGGAATTATGAATTATGACTGTCACGAATGTGTTAAAAGCAACTAAAAAAAAAAAAAGAAAAAGAAAAAAGAAAAAAACCAGCAAACTACATCTAGGATCTGGGTCCAAATTTTAATATATTTAAGACAAATAATACTTCCATGTTTTCTTTGAACAAAGTTTTTTCTCCAAAGGAAATGTAAGAAGTTCAAAGTAAAGCAGCAGGTATTATGTCACACCCGTAAGTTATTCTTAGTTCAGTATAATCTTCAAAATGCATTCAATGACTACAGAAATGATGAGTTGTTCTCAAATTGCATATTTCTTAATGAACTATAAACTGCAAATAAAAACAGTGGTGGGCAAAGGGGAGATTGCATATCAAAGTTGAAAAATGCAGAAGGTATTAATCAACATGGTATTTAATTCCCTCTCATACAGAAGACTACCCCATGGACTGCTTTATTAAATGTGGCATAAGATTTATTTCAAAAGATGAAGCAACTAGCAACATCTGATTTCTGCTATCTCTTTAAATAAGGAGCTCCCAGGAACCCATTCATGACTATAGCTATATTGCTGCCCAGCGATATAATTATGGCATCTTTGTACCTGCAAAAGGAATTCTAAATCTGGGATCTCACATGATCCCAACTACAAATGCACAGCTGAATCACACTGAAGTTTGTCCTAGGAATAAGTGCTGGGTGAAAAAAAATTAGCATGTCTAAAGTAGAGTACAAACTGTACAATTCAAACTCCTGTTTGCTGTAGGAAAAAGATAGACATTAACAGCACTGCATAGAGAAGAGGCTGTACAGTATTTTAAAAGGGAAGCAGTGGAAGAGGGAAAGTAGCTGGCCAGTCTCTATGCCTTCTCCACTGAGTTAACACTTTCAGAAAAAGTTCCTATTTTTAAAAAGATTAGGCAATAAAAAATTGAAAAGATACAGGAAGATGGGTAATCTTATTCTCAACTACCTATTCTAAAAAAAAATACTTCTCACACCACACTGTTGGAGTAAAAATTCTTAGAGAAAAAATAAATATATTTAGTGGTATAGTTCCATGATGTTATACACGTACTGCAGGAAATCTAGTAAACTAGAAATCTAAAGTTTATTTTACAATAGAATTCTATCTTTTCTACTAATAATATCTATAAAATTGAAGCTGCAAGCTACCCTGAATTTTTTAAATGTCTTAATTTATAGGAACATGATATATACAATATTTGTATTTTACAAATTTATGTAATATGACTTTAACAGAAAATATTGTTTTAAATATGTACTCTATTGTCCAATAGTTTATACATTCATATTTTGTCAGAGAATGAATACAATAATTATGAAAACAAAGTTTTTATTTATAAAAGTCCGTGTCTTCTAAATAGAGGCACATTTGTAAATTAGTATCCTGTTGCAGTGATCCACCTTTGCCAATGGAATGCAGCATATGCATAACAGTGCACGTTATCTAACAGCACTGTTTCTACCTTTACACCTCATGTTTTCATCAAAACACTTTCATGGCTTTTATGTAAAATAAGCAAAATACAATGCTAGCACTATTTTAGTGTCCAAAACACTAAAGAAGAAAACAAAAAATATCTGACCAATGTAAAATCTGAATTTTTGAAAATGAGAAATAATACCATAAATAGAGAAAAGCACTAAGAAAACAGGAACTAGCAGACACAAAGAGGACATGAAGATGGTCCACATTTTCCTTAAAATATAAAGAAAAAAATGCCAAAGGAATGGGATTCAATAGTTACAAAAAGTCTAAATAAATATAGTACAGACTTAGAAAACTCTCCATACCCTCTAAAGATACAGCCTAACTATAAATTGGTTCCTCCCTTTCTAATGTTCATGACCTGATCACAAAAGTTAATATTAGCTTTTGCAACTTGCCACATCCTGTAAGTCAAATTCATATTCTTCCTAATTTTATCAATTTAAGGAACTTCATAACCATAGCTTTCAGGATGATGTGAACTTGAGCATCATTAAATGATCCGGAAGCTGTTAGCGCTGCTTCTGTTCATGCTTCCAATGGGGAAGCAGGGGACTTTAATTCACAAGTTAAAGACAATGCATAATAGCTACCTTTGAAATGTAGGTAAGTTTAATAGCTCCAACACGTGATGATCCAGAAGGTAGGTTCTAGAAACAAATTAACACATAATTATATTTGACATTATGAATTCATTTTATAACATTTTACATATACTAAAAATGGTAAGAAATTGGATTTCTAGGGCCAGAGATTTAGCTCAGCAGTTTGGTGGCCTGCCTTGCAAGCACAAGGACCTGAGTTCAAACCCCGGTACCAAAAACAAAAAAAAAAAAAACAAAACAAACAAAAAAGAAATTGGATTTCTTAATATCACATTTTACTCATCAATATCTTCAGTTTCAGTATTTACTGTCTGAAACCATGACAGCTTAGATAAAAATGCTGAACCTTACTCTGTTGCATCATAATACATTCTACCATTAAAAGGCTACTCTTATTACAGCTAAATTAATATTCTTTTTCATGACCATAAAGAGCCACAATTAAAACCAGATTTTGTATCTGAAAGCAATAGGAAAAATACTAAGAAGCATAAAACAAATACAAGTATAAGACATTTTAAGACTATATGCAGTCTTTTAAATATATATATATATAAAACGTTCTATTAAAATGTCTTCTTCAAATATATCTCTTGAAAAACTATACTGGATTTTTCCCTCACTGAAACAGTTTGGTATTTGTAACACCATAATTTATTTAAAATTAATTAAGTTTATTGGTACATTTTAGATATACATAATGATCACATACATCATAAGGAATTTGTACATGATATATTGATTCTTATTTTTCCCATTCCCCTACGTTCTTTTCAACTCTTCTTCCCCACCTTATACATTAATAGCTTTTTTTCAAGAATATTGATTCTTTAAATCATATGTAATACATACACTTTTAACTTTCACACAAAATATTTTTATTCTTAATGTTAGTATCACAAAAGAGCTAAGGGAAAAGAATTATAAAGAGAGAATCATTTCTGTCTGAAGCTAACAGAAAAAAACTGAAGGAGAAAGACTATTCTAAACTGAGATAACAAACTTTTCTGCAAGCAGTGGACAATGCCGTTTTGTACTAAAAAATTGGCTGGTTGTGTTGGTCTACAGCAGAAAATGGTGGTTTGGGAATGTGAAATGAGAACCTAATCACAGAAGACTTAAATGAAAAATAAAAGAGTAAGGAGTTTATACTGCTAAGAATTTGAAACAAATGAAGACGGCTTACAAGTAGATCCATAATCAAAATTATGCTTTAATAAATCTTGAAATATAATACACTACATGGATTTATAGAAGGGGAAGGTAGTAAAACCAAAAGAAAGTGTTTGAGAAAAACAAAGAATATATATTAAAAGACTGACAGATTTCAAAAGTAAAATTAAAACAGCTTTGTAAACTAACTTCTGCTGGAGACAGCAAGGTCAACTTTTTAAATGATTATACAATAATGCACATTAAAAGAAAATCTACAGCCTTATTTTAACGAATGATTGGGATGTACTTTGTTCAGACCTCTAAAAGCTTACTGGATACCTAGACATTTCAGAGGCTAAGATCCTAAAACATGACCTGGTTATTATTAAGATTACAAATTTTTAAGATGTAACTTTAAAAGGTCAGTTATTTATATATATAATGTTTTAGGATTTTTGGTGTTTTAAAAAAATCGTGTATAAGTAAATGAAATGTGAGAACGTCTGCAAGAATCCTTCAGGAAAACCACACTGAGTTTCTCAAACACTGTTATCCTTCCATTCAAAATAATTTTCTTTTAAGTCTTCCATAAGTCTATTTTATCCGACTGGATAGAGCTCTAAGCCTTTATATGAAGGGAAAAACTAAGAAACCAAAGCATGACATAGGATGAAAGATTAAACAGCAGCATGGTAGAAAATGTAAGTGGATGGAACATAAAATCTATTGAAAATACCCATTTTTTCTACGGGCCAGTATAACTGCTGTCAAGTTCAACTAGGAAAAAAAATGCGTTCTAAAATGAGTTACTAGATAAGTAATATGAAAAAATAAACTAATATGAAATTTAAGATTAAAAGAGAAGGCATTTGTCAAATCAGGAACTCATTTTGCCACTTTTTCTTTTTTCTTATCTTTTTTGAGACAGAACTTCACGATATACTTCAAGCTGGCCTTGAACTCACTATGAAGACCAGGCTGGCCTTGAACTTACAGTGATCCTTGAGCCTCAACAGGAGTGCTGGGCTTACAAGCAAGGAGCACCAAGCCAGCTCAAATACTTTTTCAAGTCTCTTCAAATTCATTTCCTAGTATAGCTACTTAATTCTCCACCAATACCAATCTCCTCAAAAAAACACAGAAAGGGCTGGGATTTAGCTCAGTGGTTCCACTGCCTGCCTCGCAAGCATAAGGTCCCAAGTTCCATCCCTGGTACCAACACAAACAAACAAAAACAACAAAACCCACACACACAGAAAGCACCAAATTGATCCCCTACAACACACCTGAAGAGATTTTTAAAGTAATAGTGGTTAAAAAAAAAAAAAAAAAGATGTGAAAAGAGGAAGTGGCTCCCTAAGGACAGGCTAATCAGACTAATTTTCTTTCTTTACCAGGGTACTGAGATCAATATAACCATGCTATTGCACTTTGACATGAGCAACAAAACAGAACCCTCAGAAACTGCTAATTTAAAATGGTTTAAGGGCCGGGAATGTCGCTCAATGGTGCAGCACATGCCTGGCAAGCTGAGACCCTGAGTTCAATTCCTGGTACTAAGGACAGGCTAATCAGACTAATTTTCTTTCTTTACCAGGGTACTGAGATCAATATAACCATGCTATTGCACTTTGACATGAGCAACAAAACAGAACCCTCAGAAACTGCTAATTTAAAATGGTTTAAGGGCCGGGAATGTCGCTCAATGGTGCAGCACATGCCTGGCAAGCTGAGACCCTGAGTTCAATTCCTGGTACACAATTTTAGCAGAATGTTTTAGTGAAGTTTCTATGAAGAGCTATATCTTGATCATTTCATTTAAAAGTGACCAAAACTGGGCATGGGGTTACATATCTGTAACCCCCACTACTAAGGAGGCTGAGATAGGAGTATTAGAAATTCAAGTTCAGCCTAGGCAACTTAGACTTTGTCTCAAAACAAAAATTTTTTTAGAAGGCGGAGGCTATAGGTCAGTGCAGAGCATTTACCTACCACACAAGGCCCTGAGTTCAATTATCAGTACCACAAAGAGGAAAAAAAAAATGACACAAAGTTGAGATTAATGATTAAATTCTTTAAAAAATTGGTTAAATTAGGATTTTAAAAGATTTACATAAATTAGAAAGAAAAGATACAATTAATAAGAACTGAAAAAAGATTTCAAATTTTGTACTGTGTTCAGAAAAAACAATACAATCATTAAAATGGACATATAGCTTTTTAAAAGTTCATGTAAGAAGTTTGGGACATAATTCAGTAGTAAAGCACATGCTCAGCAGGCATGAAAACTAAGGTTCGATCCTTAGTACTCTACCCCCACAAAAGTTCATGCAAATAAGACCTAGCTGAGTGCAACTTAACAGATCCCCTTGGTATCAAAGCAAAATATTGTCCAAATATGCCACAGGCTCTCTTGCCTTGATTTTTCTTTGCCCACAGTATTCTTTGAGCACTGGAGTACTCACTTGCAAGTATCCTGATCAAAATCATATTCAACCCTCTAGTCAATTTCAAATGTTACCATTTCTATGAAGATGTCAACTCCCTCTGCTAGCTATAACTATACCCTTCCCTATGAATTCAAAGTTTAGGTTTCACTCAAACTGACAAATACATTGTTTTATATTTATCATTGTTTAGATCTGTTAAGTGAGAAGTTCTGAAAAAAGGAAGTCATGAGAAGAATATATAAGGCATAAAGATAGAAAAATATTCAAGAAGTTTGAAGTAAAATTCAGGAAAAACCATATAATAAGTTATGCAGTCCTCATGAAGAAAGGCCAGTGCAGGAGTTTACAAAGACAAAGTGCCATGGCTCTAGAGGAGACCAGGAGCTGAAATCTGATAAACAGTGATTACAAGAGTCAAGATTCAGTTTCTATCTTGGGAAAAGGGAGTTTTTAAGGAGATCCTGTCCTAGATAAAGACATGGGGTCATAAAAAGAAGAACCTCTATTTTTTTAAAGTAAATGTGAATTTTTGATTTCTGCTGATATGTTGTTTCTTCCACTGACTCTGGCCAAGTAAATAAAGTAAATAATCATGTGGCTTCACAGCCAGGTGGCTACCTCCCAAGAAAGGTGGTTACACCCATAGATAAGGTAGCAAAACAGTCTGCCAAACTTTGCAAGGACAGTGATAGTAGACAGTTTCTAGCAAAAAAAAAAAACTCATATAAAGTCATTACTCAAATAATATATCAGAGATACCATTTCTATCACAAAAGGGGAAAATATATACACATGCATTAAGTTTTTTTAAAGTAATATAAAACTATTTATTGACCACTGCTCACCAATATTTACAATAAAGTAAACAACATACAGTAGGATAATATTCTGACTACTACAAAGTTATTTTACCAGGTTCTGTTTAAACAGTAACCCGAATACTGAAAAGATTGAGCCTACAAGTACAGAACAAGTTGGGGGTCAAGAAAAACATGCATGTCAATAATTTAGATTATAAGTTTGTTCATTCATTTGTTCTAAGCAGGTTCTAAACAGACCACCTCCAGCCACTCAGTAGGTTTCTATGAGCCAAGTCTTGGACATCCATGAATCCTGACTTTGAGATTTCAACTTACAAGGGAATGGGTCATGAGGAATCTTTAACATTCCCTTAACAACTCTTCCTTAGCTAAATAAACCAGGTTTAGACTATACCTTTTGGGTGGGGAAGTTGTTGGTAGTGCTACAATTTTTCTTTTCAGGAATTTTCCAAGAAAACTGCTGTATTTTTGTGATTAAAGACACAGATATGGCTGCTTTGAAAATATGCACTTTGTCCCATTAACCACAGACTCATCTATTTAACATGAAAGGTTATGGCCTTCAGGACAACTTTCAATTTAACCTAAGTGATTTATTTCTTAGGTTGCTCAGAATGATGGAATCACAAATAAGGGCTTATCACCCATACTTTTTTAGGGGGGTGAATGTTTAAAAACAAAAATACAAAAACCATTACATAAGTATTTTATTTATACACACACAAACAAAAAAACTCAGAATGGTCCTTAAGCATGTGAGCTAAAAATGAGTTCTGTTTGTCTCTACATAATTTCCCCAATATTTAGAAAAGCAGAGGAAACATATCAGGCTATCGATGCTATTTTCTGATAAAGGAAGCAACTACAGAAAGCTTTTTATTTGTTCAAAGTAGCCAGTGCTATTGATGAAAAACAAACAAAACTCAACAACTTCCCCAAATACTACTTTCAAAACCAACACAGTAAACTTGATTTTCATTAGAATGCATTTTTTTCCATACAAGTAAATAAAAAACACATGCATAAGTTTTTATCAAATAAACTTAAGTTTCATCTTCTAAAATTCAAATAAGACAGGGATACAAGGCAGAGAAAGTGGAACCAGCAGAAATAAATCTAATTATATATTGCTTAGGAAGACAACTCCTAAAATTGTACGTCAAATACCTGAATAAATGAAACTTTTATATACTTTTAAAAGGTAATCTTTAGATTTTACAAACCTGTGGATTATCCATGTACCACACAAAACTATCTTCTCTGGTATCCAGTATGAAGTACCGTCGAAGAAACTTCCCACTGTTTTCATTTTCTTCAATATCTAGAAAACCACAAATGCGATTCTGACGATCCACATAAGGCATTTCTGGGCTTGAACATTACACTGAAAAAACAAACAAAAATAAAGAGTAAGCTCCTAGGAAAAGTATTTTTTGCAAGACTTAAAAATTTAATTTGTGCTAGGACGTAATCTGCTCAACAAGAACCACGCTTTCCAATGTTAGATGAAGCCTGCTAACATGAACCCACACTAATATCCAAAGCATGAGCAAAATAACTTTAGAAATTAAGTTTACAATGAATGCTTACTAAAGGCAAGTGTTCACAAAATTCTTTTCCTTTACATTATCTAATTTAATTGTCAGAACAACTTTATGAGTAGGCATCATCATCCCCATTTCACAGATAAAGAATTGTTTAACATTACACAGGAAGTGACTTTCCCAGATTACAGTATGAGTAGGAAAAAATCAAAACTGGAACCCAGATTCCTGGAGCGCAGAATATCTATCTTAAGCTCTAAACCATCCTGTCTCTCTGAAAATCCTTTGATTTGTTAAAATGAAATTCAATCAGAATAAATTTAGCTAACAAAACAAAAAATGAGATTGGCAGGTACTGTCTATCTCCTGATGAACAACATTCAGGCAACACCTATAAAGGGAACACAAAAATGTTTTATCTAAATCTGATCCAGTTAGTAGATCCCCTATATCCAACTACCAATTTACAGGAAATCCAGAACACAGGAAACAAAAAACAATAGTTTCTTCAGCAAATAAATTACTACATGAAAAAAAGAGGAAGAGGGAGAGAGGAGTTACAGATTAAAAGAGACAAAAGGCATATCATATTCTGGTTCTAAAATTTTTTTTTCTGGTACTGAGAATCGAACTTATGACCTTGCACATGCAAGGCAGGCAAGGTGTCACTGAGCTACATCCCCAACTCCTGGTTCTAAAATATTTAAACTTTAGTTATACGATTAAAGTTACAAATCATGACCTGGAGAAAAGCAGTGTTTTCAATAATTTTTGATCTAGGAACAACAGATAACATGATTCCTGTGACACTTGGTCCAAATCTTCAGACAATTATTCCTGTTCTGGTAATTCTATGGTCAACAGCAAGCACATCTTTTGGCAGGATGAACTGATACAAGTTATGTATTTAATGGCTCAAGGTAAATTTAATTCACAATGAAAAGTCAATCACAGTATACTTTGATATACTGTATATCTATATGACAGTTCTGTATGTAGTCAAAGAAACTGTAAAAAACAACAAAAATTTTAAATGAAACTATCCATTAAATTTGTGTATATGTTATAAATCTGGTACTTAAAGTTTAGAAAGCTAAGGTGCAACTGAAGCTTGAAAAATTAACACTCTACATGACCATATACTAACTTGTAAAAACTAACTTTTGTGGTACTGCCATTAGGACAGACACAAACAAATGAAATAGAATGGAGTACCCAGAAATAACCATTACATCTGTAGTAAATTGATTAACAACATGGGTGATAACACCATTCAATGGGAGAAAGACTGTCCTCTTCAATAAATGGTGCTGATATAACTGAATAACCACATGTAAACAATGAAGGTAGACCCTTATTTCTCACCACATACTAAAATGAATTCAAAACGGATGGACAATCTACACGTAAGAAATTAAACTATAAAACTTTTAGGAGAAAATATAAGGGAAAAACATCCTTGGATTTAATAACACAGTCCTAGATATAACACCAAAAGCAAGAAGAGAAAAAAATAAGACAAATTGGACTTTATCAAAACTAAATGCTTTCATGCATCAAAGAATGCCAAGAAAATAAAAACAACAACAACAACAACAACAAAACAAAAAAGAAATCCTACAAGGTGGGAGGAAGTATTTATAAAGTATAAATCCGATAAAGGTCTAGTATCCAGAATATGTAAGTAATTCTTGCAACTTAACAATGAAAATTTTTAAATGGGTAAAGGTTTTGAAGACATTTTTGTAAAGAACATACACAAATGGCCAACAAAAACATAAAAAGATGCTCAATATCATTAGTCACTAGGAACGCACCAGTCAAAAACTACACCCACTAGAATGGCTATAAAACAGAAAAATAATGTGTTGGCAAGGACATGGAGAAATTGGAACTGTCCTACATTACTAGTAGAAATATAAAATGGTACAACAGCTGTGTAAAACAGTTTGGCAGTTGGCAGTTCTTCAAAAGTTAAACATAGAAAACCATATAATCTAGCACACACTCAGAGTTGAAAACAGGTACTCAAATAATTGTATGTGAATGGTTGATAGTAACACAATTTATAATGGCCAAAAAATGAAAATAACCCAAACATCTATCGACAGGTAAATACATAAATAAAATATGATGCATAGACATACAATACCATTTAGACATAGGAAAGAAGTACAGATTCTGGGTGAAGCTCTAAAACATAATGCTAAATTGCCAGGCATGGTGGTGGACGTCTGTAATCCCAGCACTCAGGAGGCTGAGGCAGGAGGATCGCTGTGAGTTTGAGACCAGCATGGGCTACATAGTGAGTTCCAGGTCAGTCTCAACTACATAGTAAGACCCTGTCTCAAAACCAACCCGCTAAAAAAACTTAATGCTAAGTGAAAAAAGACAACAATAAACAGCCGCATACTGTAGAACTATCTATGTAAAAGATCTGTAATTGATGAAACAGAAAGGAGACTGATGGTTGCCAGGGCCTGGGAGCACAGAAAAATGAAGAATGACTGTTTAATAGGTATGGGCAATAAAAACATTTTCACACTGACGGTTGTGAATGTATCAAATGCCACTGAATTCTACACACTAAAATTGGTGATTTTATGTTATTCACCTCAATATAAAAAATTAACATACATGGTACGTACATGGTACATTACTATGCAGTTTCTACAATGACTGTCTTGATGCACTTATCTGATTACTTAGTTTGAAAAAGGCAGAGCACATACTTTATCCAATGGGGGGAAAAATCACTTAGAATGCTCTCTCTGGGAAAAGTCAGCTGTTATATAGGAAATCTGACTACCTTGAAACTGCCATATTGTATAAAAGCCAACTAAGTTCTACACTTCAATGGGAACTATGTAGAGAGAAGTGGCAGCCCCCACACAGCTGTCCCAGCTATCCCAGCAGTGATGAAGGTCTTAACCATCACCCTAGTCCAGCTTCGTAAGACTTAGTCCCAGCTGCCACGTGACTACAGCTGCATGAGAGACCCCCAGAAAGGTACTGCCAAATTAATCCAGTCAGCTCACAAAATAGCAAAGGATAATAACTTGTCCTTTTAAATCACACAAAAACCTTTATTCATACACATACACACACACACACACACACACACACACACACTCCCTTTATCCAACATGCTTGGGTCCAGAAGGGTTTCAGTGTTTAGAGTTTTTAGGATTTTGAAATTTCCAGAGATTTTACTGGGTAATCACCCCCAATTTTAAAAATCTGCAATCTGCAATGCTCTAAGATCTGAAACTTTTAGTGTACCATGACACACAAAAAGTTTTAGATTCAGAGTATTTCAGATTTTAGAGGATCAGATCAGAGACAATGAACTTGTAAAAAGCATAAGGAATTTTGTTCAATACAGTGCTCTGGATTTTTGTTGGTTTTTAATGCTACAGATCAATTATTGCCTGGATAGAGTTTGAAGATTAAAACAACATATTTGTAAGTAATCCATAGGTAAAAGAAGCAAGAGAAATTAGAAAATCTAACTGAATGAAAATAAAAAGGTCAGAACTTGTGGAATACAGTTAAAAAAGCATTTACAGGGATTCCGCTGCCTGCCTCACAAGTGCAAGGGCCCAAGTTTGATCCCTGGTAGAAAAAGAAAGAAAGAAAAGAAAAGAAAGAAAGGAAGGAAGGAAGGAAGGACGGACGGATGGACGAACAGACGGACGAAAGGTAGGTTTATCTATAGTTACGTGGACCAAGTGAAAGAGCAAGAAGCTATCCCTGAAATCCCACCACTCTGGGAGACTGGAGGTAGAAGAATCACGAGTTTGAGCGATAACTGGGCAAATCAGTGACTCAGTGAGACTCTGTCTTTAAATAAAGGAATGAATGAATGGTTGGGGCTGTAGCTCAGTGTGAAGATCTCAGGGTTCAATCCTTGCTGTAACAATAGCAACAACAAAAGCCAATACTAGTAACTACACAGAAGTTATCATTGTACACCTTACAGATACTTAGTGGACAATAATAATATTATAGCAACTTTAAGTACAGAAAATTGACAACTGAGAGGAAACAGACAAATTCTTGGAAAAACAAAACTTTGAAAAAACACAAGATGAAAATCTGAACTGCCCTACAGTTGAACTCATAGCTAATACATTCTCTCGACAAAAAAAAGTTCAATCCCAGAACACTGCACTTGTGAATTCTATCAATCACGTAAGCAAGAAATACTACCAATTTTTAATAAGCTCTTCCATTATACAGGAGGAAAGAACAGTTCCTAAGATGTTTAATGTGATAAGCATTACTTGCATACCAAAATCTAGCAAAAATCTTACAAGAAATTAGTGTTCCCCATGAACACAGAAAGGAAAGTTCTTAACAAAATATTAGCAAATAATATCCAGCTATAGAGGGTAGTGTCTCATGATTAAGATTTATCCCAGGAACACAAGCTTGGTTTAACATTTGAAATGAAAAATCACTGTAATTCTAAACATTAGAAGAAAGGGGGAAAATATGATTGTCCCAACATATACAGAAAAAGTATGGACAAACTTTAACACACATTCATGGTAAAACTCTCAGCAAACGAGGACTAGAAAAGAACTCAATCTAATAAAGGGCTCCTTTGATAACAGTTTCCTAACACTTAGTAATGAAAAAGTAAACCATATCCCTCTAAAATTAGGAAAAGGAAAGGATCCCTGATTTACCACTTCTATTCCAGACTGTACCAGTCACTGCCAATAAACAAATGAAAAAAATAGGATAAAGATCAGAAGAAAAAAAAACTGCCCTAACGAATCTATGAAACTATTAAAATAGTGAATTTGGGAAGAGTAAGTCAACTTATAAATGT